TATTCAAAGATTTGAAATGAATGAAAATAACTAATAAAAGTTGTCACTTTATATATTATAAAATTTTGTAGATAAATCACTTTCGATGCTAATCTTTTATATGGACGCAATTCATAATTTATCGGTTGTTCGGTTCTTTGTTAGGTCAGCTTTATATTGTTTGTTGTTGTTATTGTTGTTGGTGGGTAGATAGATGTGTCGTTGTTGTTGTTTTTTATGTTTATTTTATTGTTTTTGAGTATTTGGTTTGGTTTTGGGTTTTTTCATTGAGCTAAGCTTGCTATGGTAAAGTTGTATTTTGGTAAACTACGGTGTAGCAATAAATTTTTTAGTTTTTTAATTACATAAAAATACATAAAATATTAATTGAGATTAATATATATAAATTAATTATAATCTTATTATATTTTTAAATAAAATAATGTAAAAAGGGTATGACACAAAAGCCGAATACTTAATTTGCATGATTCTGGGCTTATCTCTCTAGTACGGACTTGGGTTAGTCAATCAACCCATAAACTCGCCCATTGCAGTTCTTTTGGCCCATAAACAATTGAATTAGCCCTAGCCTTTTTTTTTTTTTTCATCAGCAGAAATGATGCCATTGGAGGCATCCAGCTCCACATTCCATCTCTTGTCCTGGGCAGGTGACATGTTATGTAATTTAAGACTCCAGATTTCCCAATCTGATATCAATTAGTGTCTCTAAAAAACCTGTGTGCAACTCAAGGATAAAAAGAAACACTGAAAAACAGCAATCCAACATGCTTTAATTGAAATGGATATAATGAAGATATACACTATATATATATATTAAAAACGGAAGGAAAGTTTTTCATTACAATGGTAAAAAAGTTGTAATTTCTGAGGATACATGACTTCTCAAATCCTCCAATATCATCTCAGCTTCCCAACATACTAGGGTGAAAAGGCGTATAGATATATCCATCACAAAGAATACATTTATATATTACCAAAATCATCTTATTGGGTGCCTATTTCATCAATTGACCAATTTGAATTCTGAAATTCTTGGCTTCTGTGGAATAAATCTAATCCATCTTTCTTGTGGAATGGAACTTGTGTCTGCTACTAATTGTGGAGCAATAAATACACTCAGACCATGCAAGAGCTTTTAATTTTTCATCATGGCCTGGAATTTTGATATTAATCTGAACTGCTGTTAGAGGAATACCATAGTTTTTTCTGGCATACTAGTATGTTCTCGTTCTCAACTCCATACTCGGTGTCTTCCTTTCGACACCCCCACCTCATTCCCTTTGCAGTGGTAGCTATAGCATCTGCAAAATAGTTGGATTCCCGTATAATTGCATACCCGTTGGGACGAAGGATACGGTCCATTTCCAAGAGTACATACTTCATATCACACCTGGTTGATGAATAAAGGATGGTATTCAGAATCTAAATTTGAAATTCAAATTCTGTTCATTGTCTTTTGAATGTAGAAAGTATCAGAGAATCTAGGAAACAACAAAAGGGAAGCACATGCCAAATGATTACCTGTGGCTCTCTGCAGTGAAAAGGCCATCAACATGAAGGAGATCGTATGTTCGAGGATATGTTGAAAATGCTTCACACCTGGGAGACACCAGACAAATTAATCAAAATCATGCACATTTAATATCAAATAAAGTAAGAGACTACAGGGAGGGCAGGATCCATATAAAAAATTACCAGTCATGATACGTTCCAATAAGCCCCCTGTCAAAAACAACAGGCAGGGTATTTGGAGCATAAGAAGAGACAACATTCATCACCCACAAGGGATCGTCTATCAGTGCTGCAGCAAAGCCTCCATAAACTGTATTCATGTCGATAACATTTCTTATCTTATCAGTTCCAAGTGCAGGAAGCAACTTTTTATAGTGCTTCACTCGCACCTTCCACTTGCTGTCATCATGCTTGAAAGCACCAGCATTCCCACCAGGAACATCTGGAAGACGTTCAGGTGCAACATGTAGACGCTCAGGCCATTTTTTGACATATTTCAGACCTGACTTCTTCAATTTTGGACCTGGAACTACAACACACGGGCGGAGTGGAGTGTACCAGGCTACATCTGGTTCAATGCTGTCGTCACACTGAGGAGGGTAGACATCTGGATCAGAAAGCTTATTGTAGCAACTGTTATCTGAAGACTTCTGCCACACAGCAATATCATCCTTCTTGGCATACATTTTGAAGCACATTGAAGTCAGCAATTCCTGCAACTTCTCATAATCTGACTTCTGCTCTTCCACAGTGGTATTCCATCCTCTCCATCGGTTTTCATAGTTTACAGGGGGGCCAGACAGTACCCAGAAACCTCCAGGGCTGAGTATCCTGTGAATCTCTAGAAGATAAACTCCACCTGAAGGCAGAATGAGAACAGTGGCATTTAATTTCAAAATACAGAAGGAAAATAGCAAAAAAAATCACCCTAACTTCTTAAGTGATGATTATTGGATTATGACATTTCATCTGAACGATAAAATTAGTAAAGGGATGAGAGCTTAGAAAAATCAATTACCGAATTCAATCCATGGGATAAGGCATCTTGAGCAATGAGCCATATCAAATGAATTTGATGGGAAAGGAAGCCTCTGTGTTGAAATGATGCCAAGGATTGCAGGAATTCCACGCTCTAATGCAAATTGGACCTGAGCTTCATGATTATCTCTTGGAGCAAGAGACACTGTAAGAATCCCACGATCTAATAGATCACCTCCCCAACTAGCAACCTATAAGTAAATTCAGTAAGAAGATCCGACATTAGAAAACAAAAATACTTTAAAAAACAAAAATTCAGACAAAACGGCTGTTCTAACTCACCCCACAACCAGTGTCAATGGCAGTTCTAACTGTCCCATCCTTCATTCCAGGGATGAGATCTTGCATTAAATCAACATAAGCACCAACTCCATGGGGGAACATAGTACCACCACCAGGAAAAAAGAACTTCTCTCCCTCTTTTCTCAGCCAGTTCTGATTAGACTTTTGCTTGTTAATCCAATCATATGGCACATTCCTGAAACCAGATCCACAATCTATTGTTAGAGCATGAAAGACAATAGAAATTTGGACATTTTCTTAGCCAGATACAATACCTGTACCAACACTCATCCCGGCTCTTTGGCCATCTGATTGGTGGCTTATACCCATCAGGAGGTGGAACCAAGCATTCCTTCCTTTCAAATAAGGGAGGGCAGTGGCGTTCGAGGAAAGTAAGCCGGTGATATCCGTACTTCTTCCATCTCTGCAAGGACAAACATGCATCATCAAAAAGTCTTCCAAGCTAAGCAACCATAAAACACCATTAAATGATCAACATTGCCTTACCCTTGGATCTGTGCATGGAGTGTAGTCTTGATAGTCCATGCTGCATTCTGGGAAGGAAATGGCTTTCACTTGGAGAGGGGTCACTGCCACTTCCTTTGGGGAAGGGACGGATTTGGAGAGATCCTGTATATCGTTGGCTTCATATTTGTTTTTCTCAGAACAGAAGATTCCACCAAGATAGAAAGAAAATCCGCAAAGTAGAACAACAAGGATTGTGGTTGACAAAACCCGAGAACCTTTATCAGGTTTGGAACTTGGTTTGTCTTTGTCATCTTTATACTTCATGATTTAAGGTGTTGCAGATTAACTGCATAAATCAAAAGCAATTTATCGGATAGAATTGATGCTAAGTAAAATCTTTCAATGCTCGTTGCTCACAATCAATGAACGAATCCCAGTTCCACTGATGATAAGTAAAATTTCATTTGGCTGATAAGTTACCATGGCTAATTAAACAGATCTGGATTAAACAAAGCATTTCAAGGCAAAAGGGAGATATATCATGATAAATTAAATAAAACCCAATAGTCTACAAGATTGAATGCAAATATTAATGGGTAGAATTCATAATTGACAAAGACTGGAAAACTGCGGATACTTAATCATGCATGCGATCTAGGCCATGGTAGGTATCTATCAATCCATGAGAAAAGGAAAGCTAAACAAAGATCAGCTTCATTCAAGGACAGAATTTCAATTCAAATGCCGTGTAAATGCAACAACTAACACGAAAAAACTGTAAGTTCTAATGGGAACTACCACTTACATGTAATAATTTCTATGTGACATTGCCTTTATAACTCTCACATGATATGGCGACCCTAATCCTAACAAACTCTGCCATCCTAACATAACATGGCTCCATGGCCCTATGGCCCCCATTCCTTCCTATCTACTTCCTATCTCAGACCATCTTCGCCACTGAGTCAAAAAGAATAAAGTAGCACATGATATCAGACCAAACATGGAAAGCAAACTGAGGAGGAAAGATAAATGGGGAAACACACAGTGCAATTTACAATCATTCCTTGACACACAAGAAAAGGTTCAATGATTTCGTCGTCCTATGCATCAATCAGCTGAGTTTTTCTCACCTGATTTGTCAGTGGCTACGTTTATCTCATGAAAAAATCACCAATCAGTCAACAAATGCGAAAAAAAAAAAAAAAACCGTAGTTCCAATCCATACACATCAAAGTACGGATTGCAATTCATACAAATTTTGCAGCAACAGGATAGGAAACACACAGAATCAGGAGAAGAAAGAAGAAGAACTTCTTTTGTTACCCTATTTTAGTTTTCCTCTAAAGATAGTAATTCACAAGATAACAGGAGGCAGAGCACAGAAGCATCATGATTTACCAATTCTTTGCCACAAACCCATGAAGCTTATTATCCAAAAATAGAAACAACAAGTTAAAAACAGAAGAAAAATGCGAAAAAATTTAGATCTGTGGAGGAATGAGAGAACATGAAGCCAAGATCAGAACTTTTGTGAAAACCCCTGTTTGAGCTTATTAAAGAAACAATGGCAGAGTAAACAGGACAAAACAATCTGCAGAGATCTTACGCGAGGAAGTAGAAGAAGAAACAAGTACGATTAAAGGGAAAAGCATTGACACAAGAACTGGGACAATAGAGACTGTATTGATCTCCTACCTCTCTTTCCCCAGCCTGTTCTTCAAAATTTTCAAAAAAGGGTGGCTGAAAGTTGAAATCTTTCTCCCAGATTTGGAAAATTCAAGAGGCGACGAGAATGGGATTTGCATTAAACTAAATGTGAGATATTGAGATCTCTGAATTTCATGAGACAACAAACTCTTAAATACTGAAGGGTCTCTACGACTTCGCCGTGTTTTTTCACCTGCCTTGTTGTTATCACCTCCTCTCTCCTTTATCACTTCACGGTTCAGTCTCACCCACCCTTTTCTATTTTTTTTTTTTTAATTTATGATAGTAGTTATTTTTTTAATTTTTTTATTTTAATTATATAATAAAAGACAATTATCTTTTATTTTTTATATCATCTGATTTATGTATTATATGATTCAAATTCAACATCTCTTACTTTCAGCGAAAAGAGATAATTATTAAGTTATTTATATCATTGCCAGTTATTTTTTTTTCTAATAATTCATTTTATCATCTAATTTGTATTAAATTTTAAAATATAGATTTTTAAATAAAGTGACATTAATATTAGATATTTATAAAAAAATAATTATTTTTATTATATAATTTATCATTTAACATAATATAAAAAATTTAAACCTTATGATAAAGAGACTTTAATATCAAAAAAAATTTATATTTTATCCTTAAATACTGTTTCATCTTTTTATTAATTTCTTAATATTCAAAAATTATGTTTAATCTTAACTATTTTAAATTCAAATTGCATCGGATCAATAAAAAAAAATATTTCAATATTTATTTTTTTAT